GGTATCGAGCACCGTTCCCCAGACCTTCGGTGCTGCCGACCCGCAGCGTGACCGAGCCGAGCAACTGATTGTCCGGCCCATGCCGCGCCTCAAACACGCCGATCACCGGGCCGCCGGGCCATTGGCGATAGAGGCGGACGACGGGGATCAGGATATCCGACGCGCCATATTGATCGAGGATCGAACGCACCAACCGCGCGACCGCCGCCCGATCTGCCCGGCATTGAGCAGCAACGGATCGGCGCCGGTGCCCGAGGGCCGAACATAATCGATGGTGCTGTTACCGGTGCGGAACCGCCCGAAGCCTGCTGCCGGGGCGTCCGCGTCTCGAACATCTGCGACACGCCGCCTGATACCTGCAGCGGCATGACCAGCATCGGCGGCGAGCGATCGGCATAGGCCGACACTCCCAGTACCGACGCTGCCCGCGTGCGATCGAACAGGGACCCCAATCGGGCGACATAGCGGGTCGGGCCATCTGCTCATTCTCGACGACGATGCCCGACACGAGCGAGTCGAGCATCCCGTCCGACGCCCCGACCCCGCTGCGCCCCAGCCGCTGCGCCAGCATCGCCCAGCCCTTGCGCTGCGCGATCCGCCAGCCGCCAGCCGCGCATCCTCCGCCGTCTTGCCAGAGACATCCACCGTGACGCCCGAGACCTCATAAGCGCTGCCGCTGTCAATCGGCATGACGCCGCGATCCTGCCCCTCGATCTGGGGCGAGGACCGCGCTGGCCCCGACGCCGACCCCGGCCAGGCGGCAAGACCGAATATCCGATGGGCAATCGCAAACGCATCGCGGCCTTTTGGCGAAGCAGGCGTGGAAATCCAAGCGCGATATAGCTAACGGGCAAACATGACCGACAACAGCACGCCGTCCACCCCTCATCGCCCGCCGAAACCGGCGCGTCCTATACGGCGCTGCCGATGCTGGCGTTTCGATCGCCGCGGGCAACGCGCTGGTCCGCGCGATCGGCCCGCTGGCCAAGGCGACACGCCGCCGGGCGCTGACGCCGATCTGGGCGGCTTTTGGTGGTTTCTTCGACCTGAAGGCGGCGGGCTTCACCGATCCGCTGCTGGTCGCGGCCAATGACGGCGTCGGCACCAAGCTGAAACTGGCGATCGAGCATGACCGTCGCGACGGCGTCGGTATCGACCCGGTCGCCATGTGCCAACGACCTGATCGTCCGTGGCGCCGAGCCGCTGTTTTTCCCGGATTATTATGCGACCGCCAAGCTCGAAGGCGACGTGCCCGAGCGGGTGATCGCCTCGATCGCCGAGGGCTGCCGCATTGCCGGTTGCGCCCTGATCGGCGGCGAGACAGCGGAGATGCCGGCATGTATGCGCCGGGCGATTATGACTGGCCGGCTTCTGCGTCGGTGCGGTCGAACGCGATCAGGTGCTGACCGGCACCACCATCGGCGATGGCGACGTAATCCTGGCCCGGCTTCGTCGGGCGTTCATTCCAACGGCTTTTCGCTGGTCCGCCGCCCGCCGCCGACAAGGGCTGGAAGCTCGATCGCCCCTGCTCTGTTCGATCAGGACCAGTTGCTGATCGAAGCACCGATGGCGCCGACTCGCATCTATGTCCGCTCGCTGTTGCCGTCCATCAAGGCCGGCGCGATCAAAGGGGCTGGCGCATATCACCGGCGGTGGTCTGCTCGAGAACATCCCGCGCGTGCTGCCTAAGGACGCGCATGCGGTCGTCGATGCCGATGGCTGGGAACAGCCGCGCCTGATGGCGTTCCTGCAGGCGCAGGGCGGGATCGAGCCGGAGGAGATGGCACGGACCTTCAACTGCGGCATCGGCATGGCGGTGGTCGTCGCCGCCGATCAGGCGGAGGCGGTCGCCGCCACCACGGCGGAAGCGGGTGAGACCGTCCTGATCATCGGCCGTATCGAAGCCGGCGAGCGCGGCTGCACCGTCAAGGGTTCCGCGGGCACGTGGAGCGCCAAGGCGGACTGGACCGACCTATGCGGCCTGACAGCCCGGTGAAGGCCGGTATCCTGATTTCCGGCCGGGGTTCCAACATGCAATCGCTGGTCGCGGCCGCGCGAGGCGAATGCGGGTTACGAAGTCGCGCTGGTCGCCCCGGACAAGCCTGAGGCAGCCGGGCTGGCCTCGGGCCCGTGAACACGGCATCGCGACCTTCGCGCTCACCCAAAGGTATCGGCAAGCCGGCCTAAGAGGCGGCGATCAATCAGGCGCTGAGCGAGGCGGGCGTCGAAGTGATCGCGCTGGCGGGGTATATGCGTCTGCTGTCGGGCGATTTCGTGGCGCGGTGGCGGGGACGTATCCTCAACATCCACCCCTGCTGCTGCCGCTATACAAGGGCTCAACACCCATGCGCGCGCGATTGCGGCTGGCGACACGAAGGCCGGCTGCTCGGTCCATATCGTCACCGAGGAACTCGACGATGGCGAAGTGCTGGGCCGTGCGGAAGTGCCGATCCACCCCGGCGACGACGCCACGGCACTGCGGCGCGCGTGCTCGTTGAGGGGCACCGACTTTACCCCAAGTGCTGACGGAGTTTGTGCGTCGATGACCGATATTCTCGCCCGCATCCGTGACATCGCCATGCTGCTGCCCCGCACGACCGAGCAGGCGCCGGACGGCGAAATCCGTTTTCTGGTCGAGGGCGAGCCATTCGCTCGGGTCAGCGAAGGGACGTCCGCTCTGCATCTGCGCATCGCGGATGAAGGCCACGCACCGCATTGAGCGAAATCACGCTGTCCGCCGACAGCGACTGGACGCTGATCGAGGATCGGATCGCGCAGTTGGGGAGTTGGTCGCACCGACCGAATTGCTGGAGGCGGCGGCCGATGAGCGGCACGGCAGGCGAAGAGGCCGCCGAGCGGGCCAAAGTCGCGCCGCCGGCTGCTGACCCTTGCGGGAGTTCGTGGCGGTCGCCGGCCTGATGGTCGCCGCGCTGACCCTCTATCTCAACTGGTCCCAGCGGCGCAGCGACGCCGCCGACAAACTGCCGCCGCCAGCGCCCAGCGTCATGAGCGCGGCACGGCTGGACCTGAGCGCGACGGTGGAAAGCGATGGCCGCCGCCCGGCGCTGCGCGATCCGAACCACGACCTTCAGGAATTGACGATCGATTTTCCGACGAAATCCGGCATTGGCCGCCGGTACCAGTCGGCGACCCGGTGATCGAGGCCGAGCCCATTGCCGGACCGATGCTGGCGCTGACGGATGGTGAGGCCGACACTCGCGAGGGCGGCTCCTGCGCTGATCACCACCCGCTATTGGGACGGCGATACGGCACGGACCGTGACCGGTCTGTACGACGTCATCTGGAGCACCCATGGCCGCCTGTTCCGGGGCCGCACCCTGCGGCTGGAAGGCTTGCGGCTGCGTGATCGGAACGGGACGAAGCAAAGCTGGACGCCGCACGGGCGGCGCGGCGCGGCTGATCATATTCACGCACCTTCCCCTTACGGGGAAGGACGGGTTAGGTGCCTTAGTTACAGCGCCCGCGCATAGACGACATCGTCGTAAACGGCTTCGCCCACCCGGAAACTGGCGCGTGCCGGTCAGCGTGAAACCTTCCCGCTCGTAAAAAAGCCCGTGCCTGCTCATTGATGCCGAGCACTCCCAGCAGCATACGGCGCCGGCCGAGCGCCCGGGCGTCGTCGATCGCCCCGCCATCAACATGGCCAGACCCGTGCCGCGGTCAGCGACAACGCGTAGATACGGCGGAGTTCGATATCATGCGCATCCGTCTCGATCGGCAGATCAGGGGGGCTGAAGCGTGTAACCAACGGGTGCGGCCCCATCGATGCTCGGCTGGGGTGGCCACGCAGTTGGCGTCGGCGATCCACGCATCGAATTTATGGGGCCGAGCTGTTGAGGGTGCAATGGCGCACCATGTCGGGACCGCGATGGATCCCGGCAAAGTCTCGAAAGCTGGCGGCCGCGACGAGCGACAGCGCGGGCGCATCGCCCGGCCCCCGCCCGCCGCAGCCGCGGTCATCAGCCGACGATTTCTTCGGGCTTGAAGAAATAGGCGATCTCGATCTCGGCATTCTCGTCCGAGTCCGGAGCCATGCACGGTGTGGCTTCGATCGACTCGGCCAGTTCCTTGCGGATCGTGCCCGGCTCGGCGTTCGCCGGGTTGGTCGCGCCATGATGTCACGGTTGCGCTGCATGGCGTTCTCGCCCTCGAGCACCTGCGACGACCGGACCCAGATCATGAACTCGGACCAGATCGTTGAAGAAGGACGCTCTTGTGGACCGCGTAGAAGCCCCTCGGCCTGCTCCTTGGGTCATCTGGATGCCTTCGAGGCGACGACGCGCAGGCCGGCTTCCTCCAGCATCTTGGTGACGGCGCCGGTCAGGTTGCGGCGGGTGGCGTCGGGCTTGATGATCGAAAAAGGTACGGTTCGCGGCCGATGGTCACGCAGCTCCTGAAATAGGTGTTGGCTGGAAGTGGCGCCGCCCTAGTCGGGGCTCGGGCGCAATGCAATGTCTTATGGAAATCGCAAGCCTCCCGACACGGGAAGGTGGCAGACCGAAGAAGGCCTGACGGCGGGGATGTACCGCGAGGTTGTCCTTCGTGGAGAGCCCCTCCACCAGCTTCGGTGTCCCCCTCCCCGTAAGCGGGGAGGATCACGTCACGCCGCCTGTTCCCAGCGGCCTGGTCGTTCTGTTTCCAGTAACGCCGCTCCACCCCCGTCGCGGTCGGCCAGCGCACGCCGGGCCGACCAGGCCTCAACTGTCGATCGCCGTCGAAGAAGTGGAAGGCACGGTCGAAGGTCAGCGCGTCGTCCCGCCATGGGCCATCCGCCAAGGCGACATGGCGCGCGCCGTTGGCCAGATGAACCTCGGCGCGATCAGTACCGGCTGGCACTGTCATTCCCCTCGCCCGCACGGGCATGGGGCGGAAACTGTCCGCCGGCACCATCCAGAGCTGACGATCGAGCGCCGCACGCTGGTCGGCATCGCCGCTGACGATCAGCAAAACGGCCGCCTGCCCGCCATCGACGATCAGCGATGACGGGCAGCAGCCGATCGAGCGGCGCCATGGTCAGATGATAGAAGTCGACCTGCATCGGCGCCGCTCCTGTTGGCTCAGGCTTCGAACCGGTCGGCGACAGAAGCGGTCGAGCAGGCGGACGCCATAGCCCGTGGCGCCCTTGTCATGGTTGACGCCCGGCTTGTCCGCCGACCAGACCATGCCAGCAATGTCGAGATGCGCCCATGCGACGCCGTCATTGATATAGCGCTTCAGGAACTGCGCCGCCGTGATCGAGCCGCCGCCACGCGGGCCGACATTCTTCATGTCGGCGATCTGGCTGTCGATCAGCTTGTCATAGGCATCGGACGGCGGGAAGCGCCACAGCTTCTCATCGGTCGCCTTGCCCGCCGCGAGCAGCGATTCGGCCAGCAGATCGTCATTGGCGAACAGACCGCCATGTTCATATTCAACTGATGATCGTCGCGCCGGTCAGCGTGGCAAGATCGACGATGGTCGAAGGCGAATGCGTCTTCTGGACCCAGTCAGCGCATCGCACAGGACCGAACGCCCTTCCGCGTCGGTGTTGATGACCTCGATCGTCTGACCCGACATGGAAGACCACGTCACCCGGGCGCTGCGCATTGCCGTCGGGCATGTTCTCGACCAGACCCATGACGCCGACGACATTGGCAGCGGCCTTGCGCGCGTGGCGATCGCCTTCATCGCGCCCGCGACCGCACCGGCGCCGCCCATGTCCCACTTCATGTCTTCCATGCCAGCGGCCGGCGATCGAAATGCCGCCGGTGTCGAAGGTCACGCCTTGCCGACCAGCGCCAGCGTCGGGGCATCAGCATCCGCCATTCCACTTGAGGACTAGCAACCCGGCCTTCGCGGACCGAACCACACAGCTCACGCCCAGCAGCGCCCCCATGCCCAGATCGCGCATCTGCGCCTCGTCCAGCACGGTGACCTCCAGACCCAGCCCTCGACGTCGTTCAGGACGCGCTCGACAAAGCTTTCCCGGATAGAGCTTGTTCGGCGGTTCCGACACCAGTGTCCGGGTCAGTTCCAGCCCGCCGTTGACGGCATGGATCGCGGCATAGGCGGCTTCGGCCTCCGCTGCCGCGCCGACGATGGCGATTCGCGTCAGGGTCGGCCAGGACACGTCTCAGGCAGCTTGGTGCGATAGACGTCATGGCGCCAGAGCGCTGCACGGCCGCACCGGCAAAGGCCGTCACGGCATCGAGCGAGGGCGCGGTGGCCAGTGCGTTGAGGTGGACCGACGCGCTCGACGCCTGAGTCAGCAGCTTGGCCGTCAGCGCGCCGCCGGTCTTTGCGCCAGTCGGTCTCGCTGCCGGAACCGACGCCGAGCAGGACAACGCGGCCGACCTTGCCGTTCCCCCGGCACGAAGACTTCCAGCGTCGAACCGGCATCACCCTTGAACGTGGACGCCTTCGCCGCCAGCGGGCCAGTCCGCGATCTCCGCTACACCCCATTGCGCCCGGTCGATGCCGTCCTTCGATCGGGAAAACAAGGACACATCGTCCGCTTGCGCGACGGAAGAAGGCGACTGCAGCGGAAACCCCTGATGGAACAAATAACTGTTGCTACCATCCCAGCAGCACTGGGGCGAGCGTGGCAAGCGCGCGATTGCAGCGAACGTCCGGTGATGCGATAGGCGGACCATTCGCGCCGTCACCCTGCCGGGGAGGCTTTCATCATGTCGGCAAGGACGGATCTGCATCATCGTTTGCGAATGACCTTTGACCGGCAGCGCGCGCTGCCCCTCGCCTCTTTCGCAGCCCAGCCCGCCTTTGGCCAGGACCTGCAGGATCGACCGGCGTCACCGCCACCCGGACAGCCCTGCTGCGCCCGAAATCTTCGCGACCGGAGTGGTTCAGCGCCGGGCAGCTCGAATACGACATCAATGCCGATATCGTGACGGCGACCGCGATGTCCGCATGAACCGCCGGGGAAAGGCTGCGCGCCGACAAGGTTAATTCGGAACCGTAAGACCGGTAAGGTGCTGGCCACCGGCAATATCGCCGTGACCAACCCGCAGGGCGACATCGCCTATGGCGACCAGATCGAGCTGACCGATTCGCTGAAGGACGGCGTGGTCGACAATATGCTCGTCGTGCTGGAACAGGGTGGGCGCACGCGGCGGTCCGGGGTACGCGTCAGGAGAACGGCACGGTCAATCTCGAACGTGCCGCCTATACACCCTGCGCCGTCGAAACATCGGAAGGATGCCCAAAGGAACCGTCTGGAAGATCACCGCCGTCCGCGTCACCTATCGCCCTGATCGCGAACGCGTCTATTTCAACGGCGCGCGGCTCAATCTGTTCGGCCTGCCCAGCATTCCCCTGCCCCTGCCTGTCCGCCCGATCGGGTCAGGCGGCGACAGCGGCTTCACCCCCGATATCCGGGCTCGACCGCGTCAACGGCATCGAGGTGGCGGTGCCCTATTATTGGCGGCTCGCCCCCAATCGGGGCCTGACCGTCGCCGCACGTCTTCACCGCCGTGCTGCCGATGATGGAGGCGCAATATGAGGCGCTCAATTTGCTCGGCGCCTATCAGATCACCGGCTACGCCACCGCCAGCCGTCGCAGCGACCTCTCAACACACTAACCCGACCATACGAGCCGTGCGTTTCGCGGCTATCTCGACAGTGTCAGGCGGTTGCAGTTCTGCCTGAAATGGAGCCTGTCGGCCTCGCTGCGTCCTGACGACGGATCGCACCTTCCTGCGTCGCTACGATATTTCGCGAGACGACCGGCTGCACGACCGCCAGCCCGGAGCGCATCGACCAGAACAGCTATTTCGCGATCAACGGCTGGTACGTCCAGACATTTGCGCGTCAACGATCCGCAGGGACAACAGCCGATCGCGCTGCCTGAGATCGATTATCGCCGCCGGTTCGACGATGGGCTGCAATTCGGTAAGTTTCGAGCTGCAACTCAACACGCTGGCGATCAGCCGTATTGCCTGAGCCAGATACCCAGCGCGCCTTTGCTAGCATGCGTTGGGATCTGCGCCGCCTGACCAATGGGGTCAGGAAGTGACCTTTACCGCCATAGCGCGCGGCGATGCTTATAACGCCTTAACATGCCACGACGCCGCTTATCTATCAGGGGCTGGAGGGCTTTCAGGGCCGCGCGATCGGTGCGCTCGCGGTCGATGTGAAATGGCCGTTCGTCGGCGGCGAAACTCTGGGGCGGGACCCAGCGTTTCGCCGCGCGTCAGAATCGTCGCCAGCCCCAAAGATCACCAATATCCAAAATCGAACGGGATGCGCGCGCGGTCGATCTGGAGGACTCTAAACTCTTCGCGCTCAACCGCTTCCCGGCTATGACCGGTTCCGAGGACTCGACCCGCATCACCTATGGCGCGCAATGGGCGCTGTCGCTGCCGAGCTTCACCTTCGACACGCTGGTCGGTGGAGTTTGCCTGAACGACTGGCCGACGATCTCATCCGGGCACGGGCTGTGTCAGGATCGCTGGTCCGATATCGTCGGGCGTACCGAATTGCGGTTGAGATTTTGTCGCCCCACCGCTTCCCGCATCGACAAGGACACGTTCGCCGTTCGCCGCAACGAGCTGGACGCGACAGTGGGTTCGCGTTCTACCCATGTGCAGGGCGGGATATCCGCCTCAACCGCAACATCTTCCCTTCGATCGAGGATCTTCAGGATCGCGAGGAAATCCGGGGCGGGGCAGGTGCAGTTCGCGCGCTTCTGGTCGGCGTTCGATCGACCGTCGTCGACCTGACCGACCGTTCGGAAGACGCGCTGTCGCTGTCCAATGGTTTCGATCTGATCCGACACCGCGTCGGCGCAATATGAGATGATTGCCTTCGCCTTTGGCTTCACTTGGCGACGGATTACGTAAACACGGGGACGCACGCGCGGGCAACAAAGCTTCCCTGTTGACGCTGGCGTTCACCACCTCGGCCCATAAGCCCTATTCAGCATGCTCGACCCATATCGCGACGGTTACGCGCCCCATGCAGGCGTGATGAGATCAAAACACGGTGAAGCAGGACATTTTATCATCAGGGCCGTTTCTTCCTGGGTTGCCATGATGCTGGCAGCGGTCGCGGCCAGGCGCGCTGGCGCGAACGGTGCCGGACCAGACGAAAGTGCGAAACCGGCGGTCTGGACATTCCTTCAATCTTCAACTGTTCGGAAAGCTGGACCCCCAATGTCCGCAAGCCGACCGCGATCGTCAACGACACATTCCCTGACCGGGACCGATCTGGACCAGCGCATGGCGCTGGCCATGGCGCTGAACAATGTTACCCAAGCGTCGCCCGGGATCGCGTTGGCTGCGGATGCAGATCCTGCGGCGGTTGATCGACGAGACGTTGCAGATCCAGGGAAGCAAAGTCCGCCAGATCGGGTGACCGCGCCTGAAATCGACCGGCTCTATGCCCGCTTCTCGCAGCAGTTCGGCAAGACGCCGACGCAGATGACCGCCTTTTCTGCGCCGGTCGGATCGTCCGAGCGCTCGATGCGCCGCCAGATCGAGGGCGAGCTGGTGCTGAACCGTTACCTCCGTAAGCGCGTCGAGCCGTTCATCAATGTCGGCGACGAGGAAGTGAACGCTATTCGCGCCCGCTGAAGGCAGCCAAAGGTGTACCGAGAATATAATCTCAAAAATCTTCCTCTCCGCCAATGAGGCGACACAGCAGGTCTTCGCCAATGCGCCCAGATCATCGCCGAAATCCAGAAGGGGCAGCAGCTCGAATATTTCGCGCGCAGCTTCTCCGAAGCCTCGACGCGCGCGGTGAACGGGCGATCTGGGGTGGTCCGCGCCGCGCAGTTTCAGCCTGAGCTTCAGTCCGCCGCGCAGTCGATGCAGGTCGGGCAGGTTGCCGGGCCGATCCGGATCTGGCGGCTTTGATCCTGTACCTGACGGACAAGCGGCAGGTGCTAACTGCCGACCCGCGCGATCTGCGCCTGTCGCTCAAGCAGCTGACCATCAAGTTCCCGGCCGGCACGACCCGGGCGCAGGCAACCGCACGTGCCGCCGATTTCGCCAAGGCGACGCAGGCCATTCGCGGTTGCGGCGACGTGGAACGCGTGGCGACCTCGCTCAAGGCCGAGGTGGTCGACAATGACCGGTCACCATCCGCCAGCTACCCCGCACCGCTGCAGGAAATCCTGCTGAAGATGCAGATCGGCGGGCGACGCCGCCCTTCGGCTCGCCCGAACAGGGCGTCCGCTCGCTGGTGCTGTGCGACCGCGAGGAACCGCGCTCGGGCAATCTGCCGACCAGCGACCAGATCCAGAACCGGGTCGAGCAGCAGCGGGTCAATCTGCGCGCGAACCAGAAGATGCGCGATCTTCGCCGCGACGCGGTCGTTGAGTATCGGTGACCGACGCATGAGCATGACCCGGCCTCTGGCGATCTCCGCTGGGCGATCCCGCCGGCATCGGGCCGGAGATCATCGCCAAAGCCCGGCCGTGCGGCATTCGGCCGGCTGCCCCGTTTCTGGCGGTCGGTGACGCCGTGCGATCGAGAAGGTGTGGACGGCCCCACCGTCCGCGTCAGCGACATCGGCGCGGCGGTGGCGGCGTTTGATCAGGCACTGCCGATC